GACCCTAATGTGTTCTTTGATTAGTGCTGGATTTAATCTACCAATATTTCCTAAGATCTAAAACGAATTTAATCAGATTTCCCGATACTCTCGCTTACAGGAAATAAGACGAGTAACAGATAAAAATAAAACTGCTGAGTTTAAATGGAAAACATCGAACTGTTTCTGTTCCAAGTTAAACTGTACCTGAAATTGTTAGTGGAAAGTAGATACACTACATTAAGTTCATAGAACATCGAAGTAACTTTGTGAAGCTATGTAAAGGCTCATAACTAACCCGGGGGTACTTTTCCGCTCACCAATATTTACGTCGTTTTATGATTCTTAGAAGAAGATAAACATCAAATATCAACGTACTTGTTTTACAAACTCCATGTTACGCCCTCAAATCTATTCAATGTTATGCTCATGCTCCGTGTCGCGTGTATTTTGTACGAATAAAATAGGGGAACTTGCAAAGAATTGCGGCGGTAAATCTTTTTAGTGCAATAAAATTGAATGCCGGCTGAATGAGATGTAAACGAGTGTCCTGACGATGGCGCCCCGAAACGAACTCAAACGTGTACAATTTTATGACCTCCAGACCCTTCTTACTGTCCCAATAAGCCATTGTTTTAATTATAATTATGATATTCTCGTTTTAATACAAGATTGCTTTACTACGTCGAAATGAAACTCGCTCTGAGACTCATGAGTATCGTAATGAGAATAATTGTATTATCTTTTACTATGCAAAAATCATAACTTCGTGCAATGATTTTAGGATAATTTAGAACAAATTGTACAGACGACTGATTTAATAATAAGCTAGTATTATGAAACCAAGTTATACTAATCGTTTTGTCGAACCGACTGAAAACAAGGCATATCTGAAGACAGATTGCGGTGAAGAATGTTGGCGCTGTAGTCTCCGTGTAGCCTCGGCCTTACGCATTGCTACGACGGGTTTGTGTTACCTTTTTTACTAAGTTCCGATTTACACCTATAAATAATTACATCTATACATACATCCATGTATGTACATCGACATCCACATGGACCTTTCGTGCTAAAAGCGTGAATGTCACACAGTATAAATAGATATAATCTAGCTATGAATATATTTTTTTTAAGGGGGGAAAAATAATTGAATTACTGCTCCCGCCTGGGTGAGCCGGGAGGGAGTGTCAGACTCTTACTGACTAAAAATCACCCTGTTCCTTCTCCTGCACGTCGAGCCGGAGCCCCGGTAACCCGTTAGGTTCTCCGCGACAGCTATGAATACGATGGTACCAACTTTCTAAATGAACTTTATTCTTAAAGAGTAATCGTTTTATTTGTAAAGATAAGAAAAGATTAAAGTTAAATATTCTGAAACATGCCAGCCTGAACAATACTCGTTTTAAATGGTAATGTATTACGACTATCTTTTATATTCTGCTAAGGTAAATAAACAAAGGCTCTATAATGACACAGGATCCCGATAAGACTAATTTATGTATTCATCACGCGCTATCCAATTTAGTAATTTGAGTAAATTAAATACTGCTGCCTCGTTGGCCGAGTGGTCGTAAGTGCGACTGCCGGGCAAGAGGTCTCGGGTTCGATTCCCGGGTCGGGCAAAGTATTACTGGGTTTTTAAATACTCTCAGTAGTAGCACGGAGTCTGGAATTGTGCCCAGTATATGGCAATAGGCTCACCCCCTATTACATGGGACTCATAACATAAATAGTGAAAAGTGGGTGTTACATTCTACAGTGGTATAATGTGCACCTCTGCCTACCCCTTCGCGGATAAAAGGCGTGATGTTATGTATGTATGTATGTAGTAAATTAAATAAAAAGCTAGCCTTTTCCCTCCTAAACCATCTTTGTTCGTTGAGTGGAGCTACGAGCAGTATAAAGTTTAATATCAACGTCAAGTACACCGCTTCAAGCTCCATTAGAATGTTGTATAATTCTGTATGAACACCAAAGTGACCAAAATAACCCTTTGAAGATTTACATTCACCCTGTAAACCTTTACCCTTAATACATTTTTTAACTTCTAGTATTATGTTGACAATTTAAATATATTAGATACGCCTAAACAGAAAACGTTATTAATTGGCTCAATCTTAAATCAAACACTATTTTTTACTTTAATATGACGAATAGCATCCATAGAAAATGAATGTGGAAAATACATTAGCCTGGCTGTAATGGAATTACATTTATAACGAAGAGGAAGTTATAGATCCGGTTAGGATGCGAGTTACTGTAACCGGAACGAAATACCAAATCCAAGGGAAATTAAAACAACATCCACTATGACGTACGTCTGGGGTAAACACAAATATCTACCAATAAGTATCTTATTATTTCTTACTGTGTGTCTTTGAACCCAGATGATTTTATCAACATTTAAAAAATATAGTAAAGCAACAGTGTCCAGATTTTCCATTTTGTGGACTATTATTATTAAACCATTCTTTGCAACGATCAGATCAGAAAGAAAACTAATTGAATCTAACGTTACGAAATAAACTGTGCAGCCACAAGTAACAATAAACATGCACTAGCACGGGTTCTGCTGCTATACATAGGTACAATAATTATTCATATTGCGTAAACAGTAACTCACAATTTTGAATGTTAACTACAGCAATTAATTCTTATATGTACTTCAAAAACATGAATGACTCATTAAATGCTTTCATATAGGTACTAATTCAAAAATCACATCATCAAAACCATTCTATAAACAGCAGAGTATAAGTTTTACTATTTGTTCTATCAATTGTTGTTGCACTAACTATAAATGAATTAAGATACAGTTTAAAAGGTCTATTACCGAAATTTATCTGAGTGACAGACAAAATAAAACGAGATGAATGAATAAATTATATTAAAACAAGTTCACTCTATCAACAAACAACAATGTTACATAAACATATCACAGGTATTGTCAAACTGAATATTACGGTATGCAGTTGAAGTGACATAATATGAGCACTACAAACAAATCAGCGTGAAGACGGTCCCTAGCGGACCGCGGCAAGATCATGCGGGACAGGGCCGGAGGATGCAAGCGAGCGGAGCGGGCGCGGGCAAACAACGACACGTACGTGGGCGTGCGGCGAGGTGATCGCGCGGCATAGGCAGGCGTGCGCCGCCGGCGCCACCTGGTAGTCCATGTAGTTCCCGTAGCCCATGTGGTCGCAGGTACAGGCACAGTTCTCGATGTGCCGTCGCAACTCCAGCTCGAGCTCCCACGGCGGCTCCATGAGCGCGTTGAGGCGGGCGGGCGCGCGCCGCGGCGTGCCCGCGCCTCCGCGCGCTGCGAATGCGGCCCCGGGCCGGGCGCGGGCCCCACCTGCGCGACGCCACCTGCCTCCCCGCCCCCCGCCTGGCGCGCTCCACCATACACCGGCGGCTAGCGCGCGGAGGCGCCGGCGATGCGGCCCTCACAGCGAGCTTGGGGCCCAACCCCCGATGAGCGGCGAACCGCGGCTCGCGCGGACTCTCGCGTGTTGGCGCGCATAGCGTGGCGGCCGCCTGCCGGCTGGGGAATGCCGCGCCGCTAGCTCGGCCGGGCGCGAGACCCGGGCGGCCCGGCCGCGCCGGCGCCCCGAGCTCCACGTGACAGCCCGCGCGCGCCTCGTCCCCCGCCACCCGAACCAAGTGGAGCCCGTTGCGACTATACCGCCGGACACGTCTTTCAGATGCACAATCGTCAACCATCAATTAACTCCGCAGCGACGACGTAGGTACATTACATGGAAATCGAATTCCCGGTGACGAGGAAAACAAACCTGCACTGCAGAACATGGAACACATGGATTTCTGTATAAATGCAGTCGTATTATACAGTATAAGAAAGTTTAAAAAGTAGATAAAACTTATTATATATCGACGGGACCTAGTTATCATAGGGTACAAATAAAATTCACGGAATTTATACCTCAACAAAAAGTTTAAAGGTTTTTTCCAGCAGAATTAGAGCACAAAGTTATAATGTTACAACTGCTTATAAACAGATTTGCTGAAATAATAGGCAATTGTGTATATATTCACTTAAACTGAAACACGTATAACTCAATATGATGAACTGGCAATTACTTAGGCGTTTTCACATACGTAATGACCATAAGTAGGTTATTGGGAGCGAGTAACTGGGTGCTTCATGCCATGTATGAGTACTGTATAGAATGTGGTCCTATCTGCCAGTTTACATATGAGTGCGGTTCGAAAGTTAAATGTGAATCTTGTGTTGCGGTCAACTTCGCAGGCATTTTACTCATGCAATGAGTAAATGTTAAATCCCATTATCACAATAATTTTATTACTCAGATACACCTATATAGAATTTGATCTAACTTTTGTAGAAAAATTGGTTACTTATTTCGTCGTACTTGTTTATGACGATTTTATAAATATAAAAAAATAAATTACTTAGGCAATCTTACAACATAAACGTAATGATGAGTCTTATCGCCTCCTCTTCTAGCTCGTGTTTAATGAATGAAAGTAAAAGTTTAATGAACTATAAAGAGCTCCAATAAAAGCATTTTTATTTAACAACATGGTTACCAAATTGTATTAGTTAAGGTATTTAAATAAATAAGTAGGTGCAGTGTTTAGATATATCTAGATATAAAAAATACAATATTTTATTTTTTTAGTTGGTGCCTATAACCTTTTTCGTTAGGATACTAATAGAACGATCTTATGTAAACTGTAAATATATATAGATACTGAAAAAATAATCAAATAAAAAGTAACAATAATTCGAACGGTAAATTTTTCCCTGACAACTAATTACGAAATAATGAATTGTAATGTGAATGATCTCGCAGACGCAAATAACTATTAGAATGCAGCACAGTTGAAATTCCAAAACTTGTGAATGTATAACATTTTATACACAGTCTTAACAACAATATCTCGTTTTAGCGTTAATCTCATTATTAAGTAGGTACTAACACATTCTTACAATTTAAAAATACTTAATTATAATGCCTATTATTTTGTTCATTCGGTACATCGGTTATTCCAATCTATTTATGGCAATCATCACTGTAATCATTAATCACTTGGGTCTGCGAGGCTCGTAGCAGTGAAGCATCATCTGTACATTTCTCAAGCATCGTAATTTTTATTAACGGAATTAGGACGCAGGTGGTCTGGAGCTGAGAGGCTGCATGCGTGCGCAGCGGCCGCGGCTCGGGGCGGCAGGCGGCGCGCGGCAGTCGGCATGAGGCGCGCGAGGAGCGTCACGGGGCCCTTGCGCCGCGCCCACCCGGCCTCGGGCGCCACCTGGAACGTCCAGGTACCGCTGACCACTCATCAACTAAACCCTGTCCCCGCGTTCACTGACACACTACATCACAAGTACTCCCCACATCATCTCAGACCCCGTATATACCAGGACACCTTAGCTTGGAGTCTGTGATTTAATCACCTCGAGAAAATGATAGCTACTGGAACTGGAACTCAACAGTTGGCTAAGAACTTGTTGCACGATGAACTCTGATCTTTGAATACATTAAAAGGATTACCATCCACTTAAATGCCGTTTACAAAAGGGATAATAAATCTTTGGCAGAGAAAATACAAATCGAGATAAATATTGATTTCATAATCAGTTTACAACAGAGGTCCACCAAGTTTACGAAAGTACCTAATTATGCAAATATATCATCGGAGATAAACATTATATAGACTTTCGTTATATATGTTTGTACCATGAAGTTGAAAATCTGTTTTCCTTTGTCTACGAGCATTTTTAAAAAAGCTGTGACTACATCCGTTCCGTTTAGCTAATATTATAATGTGTATTTATTTACTTTGGCGAATCGTGAGATAGCGTCAGCGTTGAATTTGTGTCGAGTACGTGACAGTCGCGCGTGGAATCCGCGCGCACTCACATTCTGTTTTCAGTTTCATTATGTCAATATTATACCATCAAGTGGAACTAAATAAATAATACCATATAGTGTTCGTATACTTAGTTGAAAATAAATTAAAAAATTACTTATACGGAGATATTAACCAAAACTTTACATATTGCAAAGTGTTACTTTACAAGACAAACTTACAGGATCTTTATATGTTTACAATGTTCACTTATAAATATCCAGGTGGTGAAGGGCAAGATGAGTTCGACCTGTTTATGGCACGCCTGCAGGGCTCTGTCAGCTGGCTTGCTGCTGATGCTGCTTGGAGCCGCCATGGCTGTAATAGGTAAGATATAGATAATTCACTAATAAGATACACTCATCATCATTATCAACAGCCTATTGATGCTCACTGCTGAGCAAAGCCTCTTCTCACTCGGAGAAGGTTTAGCATTAATCACCACGCTTGCTCAATGCAGGTTGGCGATTACACACTTATAATTAGAAATTATAAGCCCAGGGTTCCTCACTATGTTTACCTTCACGGTTTGTCAGTGTTGACTAGATAATCCTAGAAAGTACATAAAACTCAGAAAAAGTCACATTGCTACTTGCCGTTGGTAGGTTTCGAACCCGCACCCTCATGCATGAGAAGCGGGCACCCTTAAACCTCCGGGCCACCATGACATACACCATCCACAGCTGGCCATAAACATCTTCCCTACTTCATCTTGGATTGATAAACAATCCTTGTACATTTATCACAAAATAATGTAAAGTGCCTATTTAAATCTCAACGGTCGTAAAAAGAATTTATGTACCTCTACATAATTGCCTAATTCTGTATCTTCGCATTCAGATCTTTTTAGTTCAGATATTGTGTTAATTGGGTCGTTCCGTAGTTTCGTGCAAAACGCATATCCAGACCTATAAACTACAGAATACTACTTCTTTTTGTGTTATTTTTTTCAGAATATGTTCAAACATAATTACTCTTCAAGGAGTATCGCTAATATTGTAAATTAAGTCGATAGTTTTTTTAAAAAATCAATAAATCTGCGTAAAAATTCATTCCTCTCTGTTTCCAGAGAGAGTCATCGGCAGATGTTTAATTATTTACTTGTCGACAATCAAACTTATAGCTACACTGAGTATGTCATATTGAAGCCTCACTCTTGGCCTACTAATTTAGCATTTTAATTATAAATTAAACATAGTAATAAAATTGGAAACCCATCTTTTCCAATTGTCACAAAAAAATCTTCATTGCCATCCGTTCCTAAAAACAAGTCAATTTTGTCGATAGTGTATATAATTCTAATATAGTTCGGGATGAAACGTGTTCCTATGGATCCCTTAGCCCTGGTGACAGAGCAAGGTGGACGTACACCCAACGTTGTTAAAAATATTTACGATCTCCGTATTGTTACTAGTGTTTCGTCCAGAAACCATTTCATTTCATTCCTTGGATTTATAAGGTACTGTATTAATGTAGTTATTTTTTAACTAACTAATTGTTGTTATAATACATTTATCTTGATTTTATTTTTTTATTTTATTTTTATTTCATTCAGTAATGGAGGAATCAAACAAAACAGTCGATTTTCTCATTCATCTCCTCTTCATTACCTTCAGTTCCTTCCTATTTTTTGTAAGCAGGTAATGAGCTGTTTTGGAAGGAAATGAGTCAAACAAATAAGAGTACAAATGAAACGAGCATTAACATGGCGAAACCCCGTAAAAAGTTAACCAGAGAAGAAAAGCTAGCAAAAGATAGACTTAAAAGTAATCCTGTATATTCTATATAGAAAGAAAAACAAAAGAATCAGATATTTAGCGAGAAAAGAAAAAAATAAGATTTCAGTATTCAAAGCATGACTCCTGGAGCACAATGAGAAGGCGTTGGCGCAGAAATTCTTAAGAAGGAAGGAAGAAAAAAGAATATTAGTGAAAACTTCATCCCCGCAGAGTGACACAGAAAATCAGATCATTTTGTATAAGTAGTTAGTGATTGCTTACGGCTGGTAAGAAGATGGTACAAACGCTAACACTGTGGACACGGTATATTTCCTATCAGATTCTCTTTCCAGGAAATACAGAAACTAGAATATATTTTATATGATCACTAAATTGATATTAACCCCAATATAAATAGCGTGACGTGGAACTATCAAGGTTCGAGCCACGGTAAAGAAGTTTCGGACGGCATTGGGTCAGTTGTAAAGCGAATTGCTGAAAATTTTGTAACTTATTGTGGAAAAGTTGGTTATAATTATGAAGATTTTTGGGGTTTATATATTAAAATTATACCAAACGTACACTTTGATATGATAACAGAGAGTGATATTGACGAAAAAGTATTACTTCATGATTTTTCAGTATGTAAGGAAACAATTCAAGTTCATCATATCATTTGGACCGCCGATTATAATAAGAAATAAACTTCGAAGTCTCAGTTGTTTCGATTATGAAGAATACAACATTTGTATCCGTAGTAAGCACTCAAGATTTCGTCGTTGTAATAATTATGGAACATTAGAGGCAGATCGATGTGGGAATCAACGTAATCAAGCTGAAGAAACATTAATTATTGACAATCCGTTAGTTAAGATACATCTACAATTTAAACAACTTAAATGAATCAGATTTTCTCAAAAATTTGCAACCTCTGTGGGTCCAATCGATTTCCAGCTCTCGCCATTGATAAATCAAGCAACATCTTTCAATCTTTTACTTTGTCAAGGTCCCCTAAAATTAAAATATTATCTGACGTACGTTTGAATTAGGAGAACAGAACATTTTACAACAAATCAAGCAAGTTATACCCAAAAAAATTAGAAGCTGCTTCTACTTCTGAACATCAATGAGAATTCGAATCTTTTACAAACAAAGATTGCAATGTTGATGAATCTGATGACAGTGATAACTTTTATTTTTTTTAAATGTTTAATATATATATTTTTTAATTATAATTTCAGAAAACCGCCTTCAACTCTTCTACAATTTAAATCAATAATGTCTTATGAAAAAAATCATTGCTTATTGATTTCTCAAGTTATTTCTAAGGTTATTTGATTATTTGTGTGTTGAAGTATAGTTTTCATTGTTTTTTTTGTATTGTTTGATAGAGTATCGATGTTTCAAATGCAACTATTTTGTATACGAGTAGTGTTAGTTGATTTACTAGTCCGTTTTTCATAATTTTACAACATTAGTTAGATTTTAGATTCTCAGTAAAATTTGGTATGATTGACTGCTTGCATGAAGCATAGTAAAACATGTTGATTATTGAAATATTATTATTTGAATTGATTATTCTCTTAGGCTTTACGATTCATTACATTAACTAAGCTTTCCCACTACCCTATGGCTACACTACGGCCTTACTTAGTTCATTACAATCCTGACACTTTTCATTGCCATCCATTACCTTAATTTGGGATGTCAATTTCTTCGTAATTAAGCAATATTAAAAAGTGCCTATCTTATTTTTGGAATCCTGGGGATTAACTTAATACGATGAATAAATAAAAAATACAAATACACCATTTTTATTTTTGTTCCGGGGAACGGTTCAATTTGCACGAAACTACGGAATCAACCAATTAAGTAATGTGAATATATAATACTTCATAAGTTTATTTATTAGAAGCTTAGAAATACTCTAAGATTATGTAGATATATCAAAACGTCACTCCACTTCCAACAATAAGTAACTAATAAGTATTCATCAGTGACGTTACAGATGCCCTGTAACAGTAGATGCCCGATTATGTGTGAATTCTAGACACCATACTAACTATTACAGATATGACACGCTTGACCAGTGAACTGGTGCGGTAGCTATTATTAATTTGGATAATTACCACTATCTCTCATAACCTTTTTGCAGCTTACCACCTACCACATACATTTCTGCACTACCCAAGGAATGACTGGCAGATAATGCTGTTAGCATTAAATCTTCCTTATGTAATTGTTTAAAACTTAGATAAATAAATAAAAGCCATACCATGATACCATCATTGTATGATACCATCATTGTACTGAACCTCCCACTTTCCTCAGCTCCGTCCTCCTTGAAATTATCAAACTGAATCTCGATCTTTATCACTTTAAGAAGAGATTATTTAGGTTCTTTATCGTGAAATGAATTTCCTTATAAGAGAAATAGCAAAATATTTTCTTTATAATCTCTTTTTTTCTGTTGATTGTTATACATTTGTAATTTTAATAATGTACGTACGTACGTACGTACTAATTTAATTTCATGCTTTCCAAAACTCTAAATCTACATGTTAACATTATATGTCAGAATAAATGTTCAATTCCTACAGCATGTTTCGAATGAGTATTATCAATTCTACAACTATAAAAGTTGCAGTACATTAAAGTAACATTTCTGCAACAATGTTATGACACGCATCACGTTAACGTTACAGAACAGTTTCATCCTTATAGAAAATCTTGTATCCTTCACACGTTTACTACATCGACTTCGCAATACGTGCCATTTTTCCATTCACGGCGTCGTCGTGCCGTAACCCGTCAATAACAAAGCGGCAGGGGTAGCAAACATACACATGTAATATACGTGTAGCAATGTATGGTAAGCTTCCTGTCGTCGGCGCACGTGACGGCCCTGACGCTTCCGCCTGCAGCCTCCGGTCTCTCGTGTCGTCCCTACTTATTGATGAAGCCACCATACACCATACAGGCGTCCCGAGCTATTGTTGTTGCTGCGATCCATTTACTGGTTGCTGTCGTACATACGTTGCATTCGAGATTATTTGTTTCAGTTTTAATTAAAAGATGCATTTGCATACAAGAAAACACTAGTACATATATGAACCTTTCGAAAGGAGGCTTTCTTCTATCTATCTCAATGGCTTTTTCAATTCATTTTGGTTCTAATAGAGGTAGCAAACTATTATTCTGATTTTACGCAGGTATTCGTCCGCAATAATTCTGTTCGACCGACTTATTAGGTAATGAAATTCGAGAGAATTTATTCGATAGGTTTTACTGACCAAAAGATAAGACGAAGCGTCCCTTCGACGATCTCTATGGAAAATTTCAATTGATACTGATTGCGTTAGACATACAGACACAATGTTAGAACTTTGTACGGAAGTAATTGTTTTTATGTTAATATAATGTGAATACTGTTTGAAGGGTACTACGCGGACACGCTGTCGGTGGCACAGGAGATACGCGGCAATTCCACAATCTCTGTGAAGGATGAGGCGAGAGGCTTCCATCTCAATAACCTCTCGTATGCAGGGCCAATCGTTATGGGCTTTGGAGGTATGTCAGTTCATGTTTTCACTACTGTTCGTAAAGCCATATTGGAACACGAAAACTTCATCTTCTATTCTCGAGAACAGGTCTATTATATCCTACATCTTTTCTTTCAAAATTAAACATAGTAAATAGTCAAATTTACAATAAATACAATTAAAATAATATTTGTTAAAAAGTTTGCCTTTTTAGTGTAAGTAAAATATATAAATCAATTACGAATGCTACGCCGCGCCGTAGCGCTGCTACGCGGCTGTTGTGCTACATCGTAACACGTAGTACGGCTACGCAGCAGCTAGACTCTCGTTTTTACAGCTACGCAGCTTCGTTTTATCAGAGGGCTTGATACGATTTGATAGATAATTTCTTTTACGTTTAACAAAATCGAAACCTTACTGCGTACCGTACCTCTGCCCTCTGATTGGCTGATTCATTGGAGCTGAACAACCAGAGCGACGAACGCGGTTTCGATTATGGCAGCAGTGCTATAAGGTAAATGCTATTTCAGCGCTGGTCCACAGAGAAAGTAGAAAACTCAATAAATATAAAATTATGTGATTACCGAATTGATTTTGACGACTCTTCTATAGACAAGCGCTGAAATGGCATTTGACTCATTACATAGATCATGCACTTGTGAAGACTTTTTACCCAAGAAGAAGTTCAGAATTAATTACGGTTTTTTTAGGATTCATCGTGGTAGCGGCGTGTGTGATGACATTCGAAGCGAGGGACAGTGCAGCAAAGGTGACACCCGCGCGGCCGCAGGCGCTGCCTAGACCCCTGCCGCGGCGCGGGCCAGCGTGCGCTGCACCCGCGCGGCTCGACCAGCTCGGCGTGTACCGGCTACCGCACGTGCTTCCGCTGCCGCACGCACTGCCACTCGCTCCGCTACCGCACCGCCATCGTCCCACTCATCACAGGTACTAAGCTTCTCAAAGACAGATTCAACAAAACACTACACTCATATCAATGTAGCTAGAGCCAGTAACTGTTGCAGAAATTTTAATATAACTGTATCAAATTATACATATATGTAAGTATACAGTAATAAGTAGTAAAAATTTATTTCCACCAGGAGCAATATTTACTACATCAATAGCCTTCTATAAACTAACCATTTTGATACATATCATTGAACACATTGTTACACACACGTATTTACAGACGAGTGTATCATGTGCACTCCATTTGTAAGAGCGCTTGTAGACGTTTCTTTTTTTATTAGATAATGCACCGTTAAAATGGATACCCATATTTTAAAGGATGTATATTAGCGTCATGTCAAAATCATCCATTTTTAATGCAGGTAAACCGAATTTCTTTTACAGAAAATAGGCACACTACGTCCAGTAGCGTCAGTATTCTACTGACGTAGATGACCGCTCTTTCTTACACTTGGAACGGTAAAAAAATTGGGTGCATCTGGCAAAACTGTACGCTGGACATTGGTCCGAACCGTATACGATTTGGTTTAAACGCAGTTTGTTTTTCGGTGAAAATAACAAACATCTACAACCGCTCTGACACGTTATTTGTTGTATGTAGCTAAGAATTTAAAATATCTTAGTAATTATTGAGTGTTATATCCGTTTCCGGTCTTTCTCTATGAAGGTTGACATTTAAAAAGTCCTACTTCATTAGCACACCCTAATTAAAACATAGGTACAAAGCAACTTTTTGGGTCAACTCATTACTTATAAATTATTTAATTGAATAAGTCGCTAATGAAATAGGACCTTATTTATATGTGTACGCACAGAACAACTGTGTAATATACGTATGGATTAAAGGCGTTAAAGTTGTTAGAAAATTGGATGACCCGAAACCTTACTCACGCATTTCAAAAATGCAAAGAATTAACTAGCTTGCTAAATGAGTAGAATTTGAATAAAGAACTGCGAGTGTATGCACGTGCCATCTGTAAGATCACCGTTAGGACAGACTGTAGACACCCAGACCCGTAGCTATTCGCCGCTTCTAAGCCTCAGTCATGTTCACAATTATTCATGCCATTGCTTACCGTTCGACAATGCAGCAATAAACCAATATTTGAGCTTGATGTTCCACATTCTCCAACAAAAGAATAGAAAAGACGGGAACATTGGTTGTGGTAATGTAAGTTTTCTGTCGGCTGGCTGGAATGAAAAGTCAAAAGTCAGTAAAGTGGGCGATACACATATATATCATATAAATCGATATTCGGCAACGTTTGGTAGTACTGCCGCCATTGTTGGCAAGAGACTGGGACGATGATGAGGGCAGGCAGTGTATGTGACACAGAACTGGTGGAGAGAGAGGGAAGGCTCGGGCTCGGTTTGGATCGGCGCCCGATCTGCATAGCGCCAGTACCCGCGCCGCCATGCCCGTCAGTGCGCTGCGCCGGCCGCTGCGCCGCTACGCCCTCTCCGTAGACGAGCCCCCGCAGTCAGCAGTTAGGTAATTCACATATCTACATCGTTCAACGCTATTTTTCACGATTTTCATTTTGTTTTGTCATTTCAGCTTAGTAATTCTTACCCTTGTCTCTGTTCCTAACTTAACCTATTATAACTCTACCTTTATCTACTTGCATTTCCCAAATGTTTTAATTTAGAATTATTGCAATAAGTACCTATACAATTTTTATTTCATGACAATATATTAAATGCAAAATATAGATTTTTGATTGAATCGTTACTGTATCTTTACGTGATCTGCGTTTTATTAGTGCCAGTGCAGCCGAGTCTGAGTGTGGGTCGCAGTCGTCGCTAGCACTGGACCTGCACGGCAGTGGCGCGTGCGCAGGCATCACATTGCGCGTGCGCGACAACACGCGCCGACGGCCACTAGCACGTCAGCAGCGACTCAGGGACGACACTGTTCATCGTAAGTATTCTAATGCATTTGGGGATAGCTGAAAGTTTGTAAATATTCACTTTACACTTATTCAGCCTGGTTGTCTTAATTAATGTTTTAATTTTCCAGCAACTCCGGTAGCGAGTATCAGCAACATAAATAACATCGAAGAGCCTACATTCAGGCATGTATCAGTTATTACTAATAGTATCAATATTAGGGATAGCTAGAAACAAAAGTAACAAATCCTGCGGTCAAATAAAAATTCTAAAACTATCTGAGTACCTATAAACATGAGATGATCTAGAAATATCTTAAATTTTAGAAATATGTAAGTAACATTTCATTTTAGTCATAACTCCTATTTTATAATGCTGTCTACATTTCAGGTTGGAAGAAGAATCTAGCAGTAAAAACCCGGTGGAAATGCATTTATGTGTGGAGCAAGAGGAACGGGCGAGCAGTGCACCGCCCGCGCCACCGCCGTCCTCACCGCCGCCATCGCCTCGGCTCGTCGTTACCTCATGCTTGCCCGAGCGTCCGAGCACACCGCCAGAGACCTACATCGTCATCGAACCCGCGCAGCAATCCCCTGAACACGATGTTGACGATAAATGAGAAAAGCCTCAGTCTCGCCTTGACGAGACAATCCAACGAGTCGCAGACGCGGAGGACGCCTCTTGTTAATAATTTTGTATGAATTATACAACGTTTTTCGGTTAATACGAGAGAATAATGTATTGTACAAACATACATTTACTTACCGAGTTTTCGATGTGTCTTCATAAAACGGCGACAATTAGTATCTATTTTTAGACCCACTATTATGAGGTAATATATAGATAATTTGTATATACCTATGTGTATTTACGCAATCTAATATAACAAAGATGTAGGCCTACCAACTGGCAATAATAACATCTTTCAATCTAAATATTATGGTGCCGTAGCAATGAAAATATTTGTAAATGTTTGTACGATTATATATATAGAAAAAGTATTAGTGCGTTGCGATTAGAAATCATGTCGGTTAAGAAAAACAACAAAATTGTAAGTAACTCCAGTAATTATGTATTACAAAAACAATCGTAGTACCGTGGACCTCGGTGAGCACAGACACTGACTGTAGATAGTATCTATCTAAGTACCCATAGCACTGCATATGAATGCGTCGAATCTCGAGTCGTACAACCTAAATGTTGATTGTATTTGTTTATTGAGATAAGATGTTATGTTATGAATGTAAGATGTTATTGAAGGCCTACACCACTGTCAATGTCCGGCGATTTATTATAATGACACTCATAATACAGCAATAGACGCGACAGTATCGCATCCTCAATCGTAGAGCTATTGCGTATCAGATTACATAATATTATTCAATGTCAATCATCTTATACTTTCATCTACAAAAATATTTAAAATCACTTAATTAGGTATTCAATCTCACTTTAAAAGACACTTTAAGGTTCTTATCTAAACCAACAATATATAATCAAGAAACTACTATCATTTTTAATTTAATCATTCGTTATTAAATTAAAAGACTGATAAAAGCGAATTTCGTATGAAATCACATAATCTTACAATAAAATAAAAGTTAAATCATTGTTTGTGGAAAATTCATAAAGTTCATATTATAATACGTATAATTTAATCACACCTACTTAATGATATAGTATAATATTTATTTTGTTTAATATTATTGATTTAGTTACCTGAATAACAACATGTTAATGAAAATAAATAATATAATTGTTCTCCTTACCTTTATCAACAATATGACACCGTCATGATGTGAATCATATCAATACTAAGCTATCGGATCTAAGTCATAACTTACTACAGTTTGTATCTACTTATACTTGTACTAATTTAACATGTTTTCATCTTTACCATGTCAAAAAATATATTCATACGATTTATTGTAGATCTTAAAATAATACTTAACGACGAAACATACATAATACTTGTAGTGTAGGCCCCTACTTTATACGTGTTAATTTATGTACATAGACAATACTTAAACTAAATAATAATGGAACTTATGAACTTATTATATGTATGAAACTTACATTTTCATCATGTCTGAGTAAATACAAAGACTTTGATTAGTAGGTACTTATTAAGTCTGGTACCATTGATATTTCAGCACGAATTTCCAAATAATCTGTAGATACAGCTCAATAATACATATGTATTAATTGTCATTAAGTGAATGGTGGTTGATTAGTATAGAATGTTAACTCGAGTAGGAAGAAATGTCGGTGTGTAGGATATGAGTCGAGTGTGAAGGTATCGCTTGACTTACTATCATGATTGTTACGTCCAAGTCTATGCATACATAAATGTATACAGGTATTTTACGTAATCAATGGTTCGCGAAAAAGGTTTTCTTTTTATTGTACTAAAATTTATTATTGTGAAATTACAATTAAACTAACGTGTACTTATGTAAGTTATCAAAAATATTGAATAAAATACGACACTCGCTGAGGGCCTAAACTGTAGTTTGCTTCTTCATAGTGGGAAGATAAATCAAAGAGCGAAGCAGAGCTAATATAGTTTTGGTAAGGAGGTGTGTACATAATGTGAAAAATAAACAGATACACTTCTTCGCTACCCCCCCCCCCCCTCTATAATCTAAATTAAATTATTGGCCGTTATTATAAATGATTTCTTATTTTTCATCTTGTGAACGGTGATGAATATTTACGGTTACGGGGTTAGCAATTTGTCAGGACTTGACTGATTTACTTTTAAATTATCCACGATGGAATTACTTTAAATAATGTGCATTAGATGTAGCATTTGGCATTACTGGAATGTTTTTGTCGATGTTCGAGTAGAGATGCGTTCCTCGCTTTAGCTTAGATGACATGTGTATTTTCTAACACTCTAATAGGTACTTAACATTAAGACAAGTATGGAGATTATTGGAATTCAGTATCTACGTTTTGCAGTCTACAATCAACAATCTAGAAAAAAATCGGGTACTAATCCGATTTCACCAAGAGAGCTATCTCTTGTATAAAAAATGTTGGAGAAAAATGCAACAGGCAGTTCAGAAGTTCTGAATATCTATATTGAATTGAATAGATACTCATTTTTTCTACCTGAAATTGTGCCAAACTGAACCAAAAATTGTGACCTGTTTAAATGTTTTTTAAATCTGTTTTTATGTTTACGTATGTGAAATTGAAGTTACCTATTGTTTATACACTCTTTTTAAGGTTATCCCAGTGTAAAAAAAATAATATCTTTTATTATTCAACATCAAAGGATATTTTAAAATATTTGGAAGGAATAATTAATAAGTCAATTAACAACATCAAACTGGAATAGTGATGGCTAAAATAGACATTGTAATGATTGTAACGTGGCCAATTAAGCCGGGTACTCATTAGCGAGCTGTAACCGTAACTTATGTGATACAGTAACGAGGTTCTAGTGTGTTCGCGTTTTACAATTACGGGTCACGACGTCGCTCGTACTCATTTTGCATTTTGCGAGCTGTAACTGTAACCAAACAGATACAGTCACGAGGTTCTAGTGTGTACGGGGAGTAACGAACGGGGAGACCTGCTCTGCCATCAGTTTTGGTTTGTAACTCCACGATGTCGGATGAAGTGTCTCTCACCTGTGCAGCATACTTACTACTCGATGATCATAAATGGCCACGATGGTGATGATGATGATTCAGATGGTGGATTCATAGATCGAGAAAGAAGTGATGTACTGTACATATTGAAAATAAAGAAATTAGTGGTCATTACAGTACAGTATTTTCCCTGTAGGCGTCTATCAGCAAAAGACATTAATTATCCCTGACCATTCACTCATAATGACGAAGGAATAACTCGAAATTACAGCTGGATCGCTCCTGTACCGTTCGTCGCAGACTCGCGAACCACGTACATATTATGTTTTTGGTAACAGTAACGGTTACAGTTACATGCAACGTTACGGGTTTAGAAATGAGTACGTTGTAAACGTCGGGTCGCTGCAAGCCGCACGCGTACCGCTCGCAGCAGGTTTGCGAACCACGTACACACTATGTTTTTTGGTTACAGTACATGTAAAGGTTACAGTTACAGTTCGCTAATGAGTACCCGGCTTTAGACTATTGATATTAACCTAGTCGTAGTAAAGTGTTAATTGGTACCATCGTCCTATTTTATGCAAATCAATAAAGTCTCTTTGCGCAATGTCTGGTTTATCCTAGGTTTGATTAAAGCCTTCGGACTATCCCTGAAATAAATACGAATTTCGGTTTCAGTCAAACCTAGAAGTTCCTAACTTTTCAGTCACACGCTGAAAAAATAATCTGTTTCGGCATTTGCCTAGCCGTATCTAGAAGAGGCTAGTAGACTCAATCAAACTTGGACTGTAGTGGACGTTAATTTATTTTTAGTTGTTATTTTTTTAACCGACTAACGTACTTTACTTACTTAAATACGAAACTACTTACAACTTAAAATACACAAAAAAATTATAAAAGAAAACTATAATTATTTAAATAGCATCAAAAAATTCGTCAGCATCGACGTCAAGTACCCAGAGAAGGCTGGCAACATTGCCACATTGTATGGCAATGCTTAACCTCTGACCGAGGAATAGACCAGCCCTGGTTACGGGATGCGTAGACCAGGCGTTTCGAAATGTTTTTTAAATAAATTATGGGCACTCGGACTGTAGTTGTACGTTTAAAGGGGTTACTGACGTTTCGGAAAATTTGGCCACTTTGTTCAAAATCATACAAATTTTCACTGGCGTGTAGGATACTTTAAATCCTTCGGCCACGGGTCAAGAACAGAATCTGGCATCTTAGAATAGGTAGGCTAATTTAACAAATTAAAACTTTTTAATACCTGTTTGAGGTTTGACTGGTCAAATTCCGATTTCATTAAATAGTTTTATGGCGTTTGCCTGACTAAATTAATTTCTCCTAGGTTTAGCGGAAATTATTCATTTGTTTAGATTTTGACTAAGCCTTTCATACCAGACCAACCTGAATATTGACCAGCCAAACCTAGGAGTGCCGGAGCTTAGAGAATTGACTATAATATAGATATCCCAAAATGAACTATAATAAATATTAAGCACCTATCTACTGTGCCAGCTAGACTAAATTATGTTTTTCCTGTAGTCGCAAGTGATTTTGTTGATATTCTTTACAAAGTTGGTCCGTGCTGGTGTTACCCGGTGGAAGTTAGATATGATAGTGGTCTTGAACTGTTATTAAGTAACCAGTACTGGAACATGTGAGTTGATAATTAGTAAGGTTTTGGAAATGCAGTCACATTTGGGCTGAAGATCGGAAATATGAATTGTACTTTTGTATTATGATAAACTTTAAAAACGTTTTATACGATCTTTAATTGTATTAAATTCTTGTATATAGTACTTAGTTATTATTTTATAAAATTAGCAATGTGTACTCGATCCAAATGGTTGTTGTGATGTCTATTAAAATTGTTGATTATTTGTTTTGTTTTATTGAGTAAGAAGACTGCAATTGACTCCCCAGGCAAAGAGAAGGTGCAGCGGCGTCTCACGGGCAATGAGGACTATATAGTTATAAACAATACTCTATACTTATACAACGAAATTTACTCATTGGTTTGAATTCAAATACTTCATAATATAAAATGGTATTAGATTCTATATAATTTCTACCTACTCGAAGTTAGCTAGTCCTTGAATTGTCTTGAATAAGTAGTAACAAACATTTTGACACATTTTCGCACGCAGAGGCGATACGAAGTGTGACAGGTGTAAGGTGTACAAGCAGTATTCATAATAACTTAACATAACATCACGCCTTTTTATCCCCGAAGAGGTAGACAGAGGTGCACATTACGGTACTTAATGCCACTGTACAATGTAACACCCATTTTCCACTATTTATGTTAGAGTCCCAGTCCTGGTGAGCCTATTGCCATATACTGGGCACAATTCCAGACTCCGTGCTACTACCGATTTTTTTTAAAACCAGTATTATTTTGCCGGACCCGGTAATCGAATGGGCAAATCGGCAAATCGTAAAAACCGAAAAAATCATAATTACTACATTATCTGGAAGCCCCACGTTGGGCGTCATTTGTATAATTTTTGGACCGCTCCGTATATACGTACAGCACACACTGTTGAATTGTTAACGAAAACCACAGTTTAGGAACATTGAACACACAATAAAAATATTAGAAAACTCAGTGAATCACGTCAACATTTTTTGTGCAAACTTGAAACTCCATTGATATACCAATGTATCACGTGTTCACAAAATAAATATCAATATTCATTTAAAATTCGGTAGTTAAAAGGCCAAACAATTTTGGCATCGACCTAAATACTCGGGCGTACCGCTTGTAGGTAAAATAGGTACTTTTAGTAAATAAAAATCTAACAGAATTAGGTACATACCTTTCCCTCCCTCTTCGCACAAACTGGGATTTCTGTGATGAAGTTCCAATTTATTGCTCGTATAATTGTGTAATTTAGAAACAAGATATTTATGTTTTCGTTAAAAACTTATCTATACTTATAAGGAAAAACTACGTGTTCACTAGTCCTGTGTATCCCCCAGGAATAACCAAAACTTCAATGAATTTAGTCGTGCGCTGAGTTCATACAGAAACTAGTTTCAATTTCCTGGTGGTTCCAATTAGCTGCTAGTAAGTAGTGGTGAATTCATTGCTTATGACGTTATAGGGCTTCATAATATCTTATAAACACATTACATCCGTATTAAAGCAGCCTTAAACACATTACGAGCCACATCAACAGAAATCTCTACCCTCTGATCCAAATCTGTACTAATCCTATAAAAGGTGTCACAGTATATAATCCATTAAATCTGGTTAGGGACGTGTGATATAAAAGCAGGCAGCGGACAGTTAAAGCCAGCAGTCAGTCAGTGCAGTGGGCGGTCAAGCACACTACCGAGGACTGCTCACTCCTTTAGTACCTATTCCATCAACATGTATAACCAAACTGAAAATTCCTACTACGATGCACACTTTGCACCTTTCAAGTAAGTTAATTTCAAATACAAGTAGTGCTCAACACTATCTAAAAAGTGATATTTCTGTAAATCAACAATTTGTGTTTACTCGTATTTTTTTAACCAAATACATTGAACTTATAGGATTGAACTAATATAATAAATATGAAAGGCTGATTCATTGAGCAGGTCTGGAGGGCCGAGTGATGTGGAGATGCTGGGCGCAGGACTGACGGGGGAAGACCTCGCCGCGGTGCCAGAGCACTGGCTCTCGTTCCCCGCACCTCCAGCCAGTGCCCACACCGCGCTGGCTTTGCTCTACACATTCTTTACTGCTGCCGCTCTCTTAGGAAACGGCCTGGTCATTTTCATATTCTCTACGTCAGTATAATAATATTTTATGTAGCAGTAAGTTTTAAAGAAAATCAACCTAGGTAGCCCTTTTTACTTATTATTGCAGAACAAAGAGCTTAAGGACTTCCAGCAATCTTTTGATTCTACAATTAGCCATATTAGACTTTATAATGATGGCAAAAGCCCCAATATTTATATACAACAGTGCAATGCGAGGCTTTGCTAGTGGGACCGTCGGTTGTCAAATATTTGCGTTGATGGGTGCGTACAGCGGTATTGGTGCTGGCATGACTAATGCATGCATTGCCTACGACAGGTATGTACATTTTTCATTTTCTAGACTATTTTATTTTAAAAATTCTTCAGTAGGAAAATTTTATTTCATTTCAAAACTTAATATGTTTCAGACATTCAACAATCACCCGGCCCTTAGACGGACGACTCTCCCGCGGAAAAGCTCTACTGATGATGGCATTCGTCTGGATATATAGCACACCATGGGCACTTCTACCACTGTTCAAAATCTGGGGCAGATACGTACCTGGTATATTACTTTACCATCTTCACATAGAACGAAAAATAAATAGATTTATTTAATATTTATTTTCTTTTTTCAGAGGGTTATTTAACATCCTGTACTTTCGACTACTTGACCAATACATTCGACACTAAACTATTTGTTGCCTGCATTTTCACCTGCAGCTATGTATTCCCTATGTCGATGATTATATATTTTTACAGTGGTATAGTAAAGCAGGTTTTTGCACATGAAGCTGCATTGAGGTCAGTTTACTGTGTGATATCTCTGATCGAATTATTATCAAAAAATAAGTGCAACTAATTTAAAACCTTAACTGTTTAGAGAACAAGCCAAGAAGATGAACGTGGAATCGCTTAGAGCCAACCAGAGCTCAGGCGCAGAATCAGCTGAAATCCGGATAGCCAAAGCGGCTCTTACCGTATGCTTCCTGTTTGTGGCGTCGTGGACTCCCTACGGCGTGATGGCACTTATAGGAGCTTTCGGGGACCAACAACTTCTCACACCAGGGGTAAATGAAAAACTCCATCTAGTTAAACTTTTACTTTATACTGTTATACATATCTATGAAAGCATCTGTTTCTGTTTCTGGTCGGACGGGGAGCCACCCATGCTCGCCTTCCGCAGGCCCGCGCTTACGGTGGCCGGAGATCGTCCCGCGATCCCCGACGCCCGGTGTGTCCTTCGCGATGGCTGGGTTGGGAGGAGGCAGCGCTTCGCTGCCTCACGCGTCCCGCCTCCTCCTTAGCTAGCATGACTGCTTCGCAAAAGGAGGAGACGGCATCCCAGTCCCCCTCGCTCCGCATCATGACCTGCACTAGGCCCGGACGCGAAAGGTCGCCATCGCCGATCACTGCCCTGAGGGCACGACGCTGCCCAGCCCACGCAGGGCATTCCCCTACTGTGTGTTCCACAGTGTCCTCAGGATCCTCTAGTCTAGATTGCTAGTAACAAACAATACTTTGAAATTATTAATGGAAAAAATCCGATTGTGAGTTTTTTATCAGAACAATGTGTCTACATCTCATATTTTGTTTTCACAGGTTACCATGATTCCTGCTGTAGCTTGCAAAGCTGTCGCCTGTATAGATCCCTGGGTTTATGCAATCAGTCATCCGAAATATAGGTAAGTAAAAACATAAAAAAGCAAAAAAATACCTAACTATTATTATAACTGATAGTGATAAGTTACCCATCCACTGATAGGTACGTAAAAAATCGGTGCCACTGACAAATAATTCCACTCCTTAGCAGTACGCACAAAGAAGCTTGGTGCAAAGGGCTTCAATTTGTCATTTGTAGGCCGTCTATTATCCTTTGCATGCTATATGCAATCGTCAAATGTCGTGTCGTGGACACTAGACCTTTACCTTACCTTAGGCATAGGTACCTACGCAGCTTCATTTAAAATGTAATTTTACGAATACAATAATTCTGCACAGAATTGATTAACTCGTCGAGTACCGGTTTTGTAGACACAATTATAGAACAATAGGTTGCGGTCACCGGTGACCGCTTGGTGTTTGACAGTTTAATATAAGACTTATTTTTGTTACAGACAAGAGCTTCAGCGCCGCATGCCCTGGCTGCAAATTCAAGAACCTGATGATACTGTTTCTACCGCAACTAGCAATACGGTGTCTAATGCTCCACCTGCAGCGCCAGCATAGACTAGCTTGCCTCATTTTATACCTAATTTAAGCTCAAATTCTCTACAAACTGCAATGAAAAGTACATAAACAACAAAAATTGTCATTTATGTAGGGAGAGTTAAGGAAATCGTTTTATCGTGTTGATGGTACCTCCCAAAATTGCCGACGAACGCAATATAATTTTAGTAATTGTAAGTTAGTTATAGCTTAAAATAAACACTCTCAATACAGTATTGACATATTTCAGTAGGCCCAAAGACATACATGATTTTTAAGGATATTTACAAGAAAGTTTATGAATCACACATAAAAAATACAGTATTGACTGAAAAATATAACATTAGACCATTCTGTTTTCTCGTTTTCGTTGTACTTAAGCAATAAAAAAATATTGTGTCTTCAAGGCCCGAGTGAATAGGTTGCTTATGGGATGCAGATGTGCTCCATCATAGGCTGCATTATCGCTTACCACCAGGCGAGATAGTGGCCAAACGTAGGCCCATCAAATATACCTAAAAGAAAACTATATAGTTCTAATACGTTTGCAAGTTGTAAATCATGTAATGATTAATCAAGTATATTGTAGGTATTTTAAAATAATTTTACAAAAACTGAGGCTAATTTAACCCGTCATTAATTAATATTACCTAAAATCGTTCATTTTGTTTGTCTACTCCTAGAAGGCCTTACTGTTTCTGTCAATGTATTCTGTAAATGCTACCAATATATAACCAATTCATAAATATTGTTTTCTAAACGATGACTATGGCATGTTTAACGGACTGAAATATATTATTATTACTTACAAGTGTAACTTAAATGCTTACATGAAATAACAAATTATGAAAAAAAAAAATTCTTATTAAATCGTTTGTCCCACCGCACCGGATACTCTTTACCAAATATTTTACCAATACCTTTACCAAATATTCCTTTTTCAAATATTTTCTAATATATTCCATAAACAATTTTCCAAGGAAACGCAAAGACAGTAGAAACAACTACTAAGCCAGAATCCGCAGTAGGTTAACGCCATGACACGATAAACATTGAAATGTTGAAAGCACAGAAATATTTTCTTTAATATATCTGTGGTTGAAGGCATCGAGAAAAAGAACGTCATCGAGTGTGTCATGTGTGTGTATGTGTGTTTTTCTAGAGGTATCATCAGGACTTCTGGCCTGGTATATGTCGGACTCTGATGTCAATACCGACTAAAAACCTCTCTCTCCGGCCTCTTGCTCCCCGCGGAAACCGCCGTTAGGCATTACTTCACGGGAAAGGATCTAGCAATTGTGCTTCTTTCCAAAAGCTCATTGCTCTTTCTTAAGAGTTGTTATTTTTAGCTCTCTTTCTCTCTTTAGAACGGAGATCTTGGAGAACTTTCGTTGCAAAAATATTAGTCGCATTCCAAGCCGCCTTCGATGACAGCATTGCATCGACCAGGATCTTCGATTTAATTGTCTGTTTGAGGACGAGCTTTAAATCGTTGCTCAGCGGCTTAAAACGCGTACACACAAAAAACACGTGTTCCGCGTTTTCGGTGACTCCGGGGCAGGACGGGCACTCTGGAGTATCTTCGTGTTTGAAGCGATTAAGGTATTCGCGGAAGCGAATTATTTAGATAGTAATTGACTTCGCCATGCTTCCGTCTCAACCAGACATTTAACGTGTGGTATTAACCGGTACGTCCACCTCCTTTTTTCTGCGGCGTCCCACTGCGCTTGCCATCGACGTATGCTATTTTGCCGCTCTTCAGAGCTGAGTTCATCAGGACTCGATGTAGAAGACCGTCTAGCACATGAATAGGCAGCATTCCAACAATTACGCATACTGCTTCTTCAGACACTGTGCGGAAGGCACTAATCACTCTCAGGGCACTCAGTCGATATATTGATGCGACTTTTCTCCTTGTGTCCTGGACTTTGGGAGCCAAACGGAAATTCCATAGCTCAGCACCGAAATTACAGCTGATGACAACAGCGATTTTCTGCTTTGTTTTGGACCTCCAACGTTAGGCATCAGTCGATATAGGCTTGCTGTCATTACAAATGCCTTGGCAAATATATGCTCCACTTGCTGCAAGCAGCGACAAACCTCAAGAGGTTTAGTCGGGTATCAAGCATGACTCCTAAACACCGTATGAACGGTTGTGAGGTTATTTCGTGTGCTCCGACTCGTAATGTGATGGTTTCAGTCTGTTTTCTGCTTGTGATTAGGACTGCCTCGGTCTTGTGCTGTGCTAATTGCAATTTCACCGTATTCATCCACTGGCTAACTCTCTCAAATGTGATGTCAAACGCGAGGTTTATTTCATCCAGGTGTTTTGCGACGATTACTATAGCCACGTTGTCAGCATATGCCACTAGTTTAACATTCGCTGGCAGGGCTATCCTCAACAGCCCATCGTACATGATGTTCCACAGAAGAGGGTCCAGAACTGAACCCTGGGGTACTCCTCCACTTATTTCGTACTCCCTTGGACCATTCTTCGTATCGTATTTCAGAAGCCTGTTTGTAAAGTAGCTCGCTATCATCCGACGCAGGTACCCTGGTACATTTTTTACTTCAAGGGCCCACATGATGTAGTCCCAGTTGGCGGAATTGAAGGCATTCTTGATATCCAGTGTAGCTACCAAACAATACTTCTTTGTACCTCCTTTCCAATCTGGTCCCTGCAATCGCATCCTTGGCTATGGTAGTGTGGACCGCTCCCTCCGGAAGCCATACTGGTTGTTAGCCAGGAGAGGTTCGACTACCGCTTCAATCCTTTGGTGGATTATCCGTTCGAGTACCTTGCCTGCAGTGTCTAGCATGCATAGCGGTCGATAGGATGACGGTTCATCTGGTGGCTTTTTTCCCTTAGGGAGTAATACCAGCCTCTGTATTATCCACTTTTCAAGGAAGATCCCTTCCTTAAAACTCGTCTCGTACACTTCCAGGAACATTGCTGGTGCTGCTTTGATAGCTGTTTTTAAGGCAATGTTCACCGTCAGTCAGTTTGTCCGTTTCACCGTCGCGTTGTTGAAGGAAATATCTTGTTTGTTCGCCTACGCTATTTATTTGTTTAAAAGTGGTCGGTGGGTTGTTTAAAAGTTAGATTGCACAAATAACTTATGTAACGCGGCAATTCGATTTTGGTTTGTGTCGGACGCACGCGCGCAACTCAAGTGGCATAACGGCCACCTCACTATTCTTCTTCCCCCGCTCCCCCCGCCAGCCCGCCACTGATTGCTCGACGCTTGTGAGGACGCGAGAGAACAACGAGTCCCGCGCCGGAGCCGTGACGCACGCGCTCCGTATTTGTACCGCGAAATATTTGAGTTTATGTTTTATACCATTGTATTATTGTGCAACTTTGTGTATATAGTTTAAAGTTTATTCCAATATACAACATTTTACAGTCATTCGTGTGTCGAACTTTATTTCACGCCCTAAGAACAAGACAATCTTCAAATATATTACACTTATCATTTTGTGTAGTTAATAGCATACTGTGTTGAACTCAAGTGTTTTAACCTTAATTCGTGCACTATAAAGGCGGCACTGTCCAGCAAAATGGCCATGCGATGGATGAAAAGGATCTACACAATGGCGATGTTCAGTTGTGATCTTAGCGTTCAACAAAATGGACGTGGAAGCTTTAGCCGCAGCAGCTATATATTTATTTAGCACGTACAATTATTTTCTTAGTGTGTACAAAAAAAAGTTATTAAAAGGAAATAGCGTAGAAGAAGATGGTGGATGTTAACTATTCATCGCAACTGGACTAAGTAAGTAACTGCTTAAATTTAATTTTCTTTATTCTTTTAGTTATTTTATAATTCAGTATAATTAATTTTTTTTTTTTTCAGGCAATCTATGGATAATCAGCTAGCTGAAATGCTTGCTGAACCATCTGGTGAATTCGATAACTTCGTGACGATGTCAAACAGCGATTTTGAGTTTTTGATACAAAAAGTATGACCTATAGTTGCAAAAGAGGATACAGATTGGCGGGAAGCAATACCTGTAAAAATTCGTCTCGCATACAAGATACCTAGCTACTAGCAATAGCTTTCGTAGTTTACACTACCTATTCAAAGTTTCAAGCCAACTTTTTTCAAAAATTGTTCCTGAAGTATGTCTAGCCCTCAATAAAGCTTTGAAAGGTTTTGTTAAGGTAATAACTTCATATTATAATACTACGCGAGCTGCTCGCGCCTTTTACTGTTGCTGTCCTTCTCACACAGATACTCGCTCGTTCTCGCGCGACTGCGCTGGCTGGTGCTGCGTTCAAATACCGCTTGTTGTTAAATAATTAATTTGCGTACTGATAAACCAGCTAATATTCTTTCTTGCTTGCAAATCTGCTTACACCATAATTATGAATTGCTCTGCATGCTATAGTATCATCGATGATGACAAGGGAGTTCTGCGTTGCTCACGTGAGAACTGTGGCAAATTATACCGTCCCATGTGCACAGGCGTGAGGAGCCTAGTGAATATTGATATCGATACATGGACCTGTCCAGAATGTCGTTGCGCTATAAAAAGAGGGGAAGACAATTCGTTTACTCCCGTGGGCACAAAACAAGAGCCTAATGTGACAATGCGTAAGAATAAGTCGACTCTACCTCTACGAGCAACTATGTTAACTATGTCGATGTTGATAGTAACATTGCATTGCATATCGAAAGTGCATGATCTGCGGTCAGAGATATCCATTCTTAAAGAATTGCTCACAAAAGCATTGACCTTAATCAGCAGCCATGAAGATATGTTAGAAGCATATGATATTCAAGTAAAACAATTAAATGACAAGCTTGAAAGGCATGAGAAAATTAATATACAAACCTATCGGTTTGTATATCATTTATCGCGGGGGATACCCCGCGAAACGAGATAGGTATGCCGATAGTACGTACGTTCACATTTGCGCGCAAACGACGACTGATTATTGAGGTTCATAACATAACA